ATCCACGCACGCACGCGAATGAACAAAATGTTGTCTAGACATTTGGATCATTTCTCATAGAGGAATTGCAGTTCCAATTTTTGTTAGACAGATTGCAGTCAAAAACAGTAAAAGAAAAAATCGGCAACACATCCACAAAACAAGAGGAATTAATGGAAAGACCAACAATATCACCATACAATTAAAAAAACACAGGAGTGGTTTATGGTTAATGTTAGCACAGGGCTGTATGTAAAAGAGTCTCCCGCAAACGCCCTCTACAGTTCTTTTTTTTTTCTATCCCTAAATCCAAGTTCGTGGACGCTTATATTCAAACCTATATTTTACATTGAAGATAGCGTTTGACTACCCACATGTTCTATAATTTTAGTTAGCTATGCGTGTGAATTGTGTGAAAATGTTTGTTTTTTTGTTTCTCTCGAACAATTTTTGAAACATACTGAAGTTGGAATCAAGTTGCAGACATCATGTCTATTGTTCTAAACTGTTCAGCAAATTGGGAATCAGACCGTGTGTGGACTGTACAATGCGAGCCTTTGTTTTCTTAAAATGAGAGTTAAGAGTGAAAAGTTCCCAAATTCAGAATAAATTACCGTTTGTTTATATTCTACAAAGATTTCCGTCGTTTTAATAAGTACATCGAATAATGCGATACGTCCAGCTATTGCACGAAATGCCAACTTAAAATGAAAGGCTAAAAAACGGCAAATTTGCATAAAAGTAATTTCACGTATTCATATTCGTCTGGAAACCTATTCGAAACGTTTATTTTTTCATGATAATTCGCTTGGATAAATTATACCCGTATCTTTGACATCCCACTCGACGAAAATAATCATGCCGCGACGAATATTTTGGGATAAATGCAACGAAATTTCGGAAACAAGCCGGTAAAATGGCGTCCGTTAAAGGTAAGAACAGTTGTTGCCACAGCAACACTCACGTGAGCTATCTAAGCTAGGAATATATAACATAAAAAAGTCCATAAAAATTGTGTTTGATGTTTATAACAAAAGGTTTTACTTCCCTGGAAGGTACTAACGTTAGTCTCTTTCATGGTTAGAACAACCCGTTTCGAAATTGGTAAGGTAGTTTAATTGTATTTTTGTTGAATAGATTACCAAATCGACATTATCTTGATTTTAATATGGCTGACGACACATACGCATGCGCACTGATACTAAACCCTGTAAGTTAATTATATGCACACTTGGGTCGCGTCAGTCACGTATGGTATAACTACCGGAATTCTACCGTTTATTTACCCGCTACGAGTATTGGTAAAATAGATTACACTCTGTTTCCAGATCGGGATAAAAGGGTCT